TTTTTTTTTTGAGATAGAGTCTTACTCTGTCACCCAGGCTGAAGTGCAGTGGTGTGATCTCAACTCGACTCACTGCAACCTCCGCCACCCAGGTTCAAGCAATTCTCATGCCTCAGCCTTCTGAGTAGCTGGGACTACAGGCACGCACCACCACACTGGGCTAATTTTTTGGTATTGTTAGTAGAGACCGGGTCTCACCAAGTTGGCCAAGCTGGTCTCAAACTCCTGACCTCAAGAGATCTGCCCACATCAGCCTTCTAAAGTGCTGGGATAATAGGCGTGAGGCACCTCGCCTGGCCCATAAATATATTTTTTAACAACAGATATCTAGACCCCTGTTACGACAGTTCTTTTAGATCAGACTTTGCTATACCAACCATCAGAGTCACCTGCAGTTTTCTGCATATAGGCATTCAGAGAAGAATAAATGAAAGCATTAAGATAAATTAATCTATAACTGACAACTTCATTTTATTAGAGTGAGAAAAACACCACCAATTACTAAATGCTAGTTTGTTAACAGCCATGTGATCTCTTCCTCCTTTAAACTTCATAGCATTTTGTATTTTTACTCGTGTTGACCATTCATTTAATTAATAAACATTCCACTGAGCTCCTCCTGTATGCCACGCTTGTGAGGGAATAACTGGGAGGCGGTGGACATAAAGCTCTCTTTGGAGGTAGCCTGGCTGAGGAGGAGAAAAGAGATCTAAGATAGGAGATCCTAGGAGCTACAGACTTCCACTGCTGTTGTTTTTAAAAACTGGAAAGTCTGTGCTGGTATTTTCTCTCCCATCAAACTGAATTCCTTTGTAGGAGGGCTTATACCTACATTTATCTAAACACTGAAGAGTTCACAGAATAGAACCTTGAAAACAGCAGTGTTTATGTTCGTTGAATTGAACTGAATTTTACTGCCACCACTCCCACTCCCTTCCTTTCTTTTCCCCTCCTCTTACCTCGTGCTTCTCCAAATCTCTATAGTCCCTGAGAATGTTTTTTAGACCAGGAAACTGGGATTCAATAATCTTGAAAATCAAATAAAAACAACTCCAACTACTACCAGAAAAGTAATATAATAAGCTAACACTCCTGAAGGCGGGGCCCACCTTTTTTGTATCTCTAGTGACCGGCATAAGACTTGGCACAGAGCGGAAGCTCAGTAAATGCTGATTAGGTGCTTTCCACCTAGGGATCCTCAGAAAGCAAAGGTGAAGCTGGACATCACAGAAGCAGAGATCTGCTCAATATGTGTAGGACATTATCTATGCCCAGACTTAGCATTTCATTTTTTTTTTTTTTTTTTGACACAGGAATTACCATTTTAACCATTTGTAAATGTGCAGTTAAAAACACATGAAGGCACTTTCCGAGGCCGAGGAGGGCAGATCGCAAGGTCAGGAGTTCAAGACCAGCCTAAACAACGTGGTGAAACCCTGTCTCTACTAAAAATACAAAAATTAGCTGGGCATGGTGGTGCATTCCTGTAATCCCAGCTACTCGGGAGGCTGAGGCAGGAGAATTGCTTGAAGCGGGACCCAGGAGGTGGAGGTTGCAGTGAGCCAAGGTCGCGCCACTGCACTCCAGCCTAGGCTACAGAGCAAGACTCCGTCTCAAAACAGAACAAAACAAAAAAACACATGAAGGGCATCCACACTGTTTGCCACCATCACCACCGTCCATCTCCGGAGCTTGTTCATCTTCCTAAAGTGAATCTCTGCGACCTTTATATATAACTCTCCGTTCCCCAATCCTGGCAGCACCTTTCTATTTCCCATCTGTATGAATCTGACCACTGCCCTGGTTTGAATGTTTGTCCCCCTCTCACATTCAGGTCGAAACTTAACTGCCATAGTAACAGTATTCAGAAGTGAGATTTCATTTATTTTATTTCTCATTTCTTCATTCAAAATCTTTTCTGAGCCTCCATTATGGGTCCGGTGCTGAGTATTGGGACTGTTCATTACCTTCATCCAACAAAGTTACTAAGCACCTAATAGTACATCCTGGGGACTTGGGAATGACATTTATTCTGTTTTCATGGAGCTCCAATTATCTGACCCAGCCTTGCATGACAGCTGGTCTGTTTCCCCATTAGATTATAAACCCAGGGAAGAATTCACCTGTACACCCTTAATACCGAGCCCATGAGCATCCTAAGTGTTTGATAATCAGGCTCTTCTGCTTAGAACCCTGCCGTTCTCCACTCTCTGTTTCACTTAGGGTAAATAGCCCAAATCCATACAATGACCTAAGCAGATCATTAAGGTCTACCTTTTAGTTTCCTCTGGACTCTGGTCTGTTTGCTGTTCCTCAAACACACCGAAGACTTTCCCCCTTGAGGGCCTTTGCATTCACCGTTCTGTTTACCCTCAATACTCTTCTTCCCTTAGATACTTAGACTACCTTCTTTCACTCATTCAGATGTGTACTGTCCAACATAACCTATTTTGCTTATTTTTTGTCGGAACCTTCTTCATTCCTACAATGTAGGTAAGTGTTGTTTGCTTATAGATGTTCAATAAATACTTGCTGAGTTCATAAATCCTCCACTCCGCACTCCCACCCTAGGTTGGCAGAAGCTTCAGACCTTTGCCAGCCCAAGTGCCACCGGATGGGCACCTAGGCTGCGGCTAATGGGACATCGACTCCAGCCTGAGAGCACCCCGCGTGCGGGTCTCTCCCGGCCCACAGGCTGCGCTTGCGAGTGGAGGCAGGAAGGGAAAGCACCAGGAAGGTGGACTACCACAGGCCCCATGACTGCTAAATGCTGCTTTCCCAGCGTCCGCTCCGCCCTCGAGGGAAGGAGCTGTCCCAGGCCGGACCCCGCAGTCCCCTGCCCGCTCCCGAAACCAGCCGACGGCGTACCTGATCCCTTCACCCCACGCAGCTACGGCGGCGCGCGTCGGATTCCGCCTCCGGTCTCGCTTCCGCTTCCTAACCCCGCTCCGAATGGCATCCTGGGAATTGTAGTTTTTCACCTGCTGGCAGCTCGTGGGACCGGGCCGGAGGGGAGGCTGCGGTTCCCGGGGGGAGGCTCCTAGCCTTGGCGCTGGGGAGCTGCGTCCCGACGTGGGGGTTGTCAAGTTTCTCTGAGCCTCAGTTTCCCCGTCTGTTAGCGATTACAACCCCAACCCCTTACCAACTTTACAGGGCTCCTGCAGGTGACCAGGGGCTTTGTTGGTTGTTAAGGGCTGAACATTGCGAAACTGAGGTGTGTGAAAATAAAACAAAATTCAAAGCCCCGCAGCCTACTGAATGGACCTCCCTCTCGGCCAAGGGGATTCCAAAGAAACCTTAAAACTAATTAAGGCCATGATAGGAAGCGGGAGTGGAGCGGGGAGAGCCGGGTCGACGGTCGGACATGCCTACTGTTATACCCCGTCCCTTTCGGAGTTTAGACTCAGGTGGGACTGACAGAACAGAATCTTTGTAGCAGTAAGATACCAAATTCCAACCTGATATCACATGACAGAAAAAGAAATAAAAATCTTACCTCAAAATACATTTCTTTGCCATAACTTGAAATGGCCCTGCAAAGCTGTCTTGTGTTTGGGGTATAGGAGAGGGATTTGCATCCGTAAAGAATCCCTGTTAACGTAACTACAGCTTTTCCCTTCCAGGCCCTCCCAGGCCCTCCCAATTCTGAAAAGATTAACTGTGTCTAGCAGCTTTTTTCCCCTTCCTTAACAGGTGAAACCAAATTTGGGCCACCCATCATCCACAGCCTTGCCCTCCCTCCGGCTTTTCCACAGTCAGCAGAGCCCACGAGCTGACACAGCCCTTTTCTGAGCCCACAGCAGAGATGTCAGGGCTTTGACAAGGATGATTCTAGCCCCTGGGCACTCTTCTTCCTCCACCAAAGACACGAGGCGGCTTGCCCAAGCCTTGGCCTCATTAGCCACTCTTCCTTCACTCCTACAGTCCTGGGGTCTCACCCATTCAGAGAGATTCCAACCTGAATGAGCCCAAAATATCTCCCAGTCAAGAAACTACAGCCTGGTTGGATTCCTCGTTGGCCCCACAGTTTCCCCCTCTGGACTTTTCTTTCCACAGCTCCTCCAGCACCTACCATCCATCCTTCATCAGCTTCCAGAATTGGGAGGACCTGGAATGGGAAAGCTCTAGGTACTTAATAGAGATTCTTCACAGATGCAAATCCTTCCTCCACCCCCAACACAAGATAGCTTTGCAGGGCCATTTCAAACTATGGCAAAGAAACGTATTTTGGGGTAAAAGTTTTTTATTTCTTTTTCTGTCACATAATGTCAGGTTGGAATTTGGTATCTTGTTGTTACAAAGATTCTGTTCTGTCAATTTCACGTGGGTCTAAACTCTGAAAGGGATGGGATATTACGCATGTCCATGTAAAAATTTTTTACAATTTTTTAAAAAATAGAGATAGGGTTTTGCCATGTTGCCCAGGCTGGTCTTGAACTCCTGTGCTCAAGCAATCCACTTGCTTCAGCCTCCCAAATTGCTGAGATTACAGGTGTGAGCCACCATGCTCAGCTGCGATTTTTAAATACTAACACTAAACAACATTCATTTCCCTCCCCATAAGGTTTTTTCTAAAGCCTAGCTTTAACATCTCTGCTCTGCTCAGAGATGGCCCTGGCTCTCCACTGTCTGTTGAAATGCCACAGTGGGGCTTGCACATGGCTTAAATGATCTTCAATGACACCTTCAGGTTTTAGCTCACACCACACCTACCAGTCCCTGCACCTCACACTGAGCCATACTGAACACTTCCCCCACCAACTCCCTACCACTGCTCTTGTGTCCTTTGCCTCTGAATAAGTTCATGGCCACTTTCCAGGGGAAGAAAAAAACCTTTAGCTGGTCTCACTGCTTCCTCTAACCCCCACTCCATCCGTTTGCCATGTGATTGTGCATCTCTCCTGATGTAAAATCTAACCCCCTTCTCAAGGTCTTGTAATATACAACCCAGCTCCTGCCTGCCCCTCCCAGCTTCGTCTCCTATCACTCTTCCTCTAGCTTGCTATGTTCCAGTTGCACTGATCCTGAAATGCTTCAAATGCACCATAAGCCTTTGCAAATACTATTTATTCCCTTTCCTCTCACATTTTCCATGGCTGGCTTCTTATACTTTAGGCCCCAGCTTCAACATTCCCTCATCAGAAAGGCCTTTCCCGACGACCACTCTGGCAAGATTGTTTTGTTTTCTATCCTTGTATTATCATCTTTTTGATTTGCTTTATATTACCTCTCAGTCAGTAATGGATTTTTTTTCTGTGACTTTCCTACTAATCATAAGTTCCTTGAGGAGACTATGTGTACCAAGTTCATGGTTGTATTCCCAGTACCACTGCATAGAAAATATTTGTTGACAGATAAATGATTTTTTTTCTACTTTCTTGACATACCCAAATTCTATCAAATCCAGGACCTGACACACAGTACTCAATAAATACTTCTTGAGATGCTAGTTATAATTAATGCTGCCTTCTGCAGGAAGCCTTTCCTGATTACTACTCTGCCACTCACCCCAAAGTGACTTCTCTCTCCTTAGAGCTCTTACAGCACTTTAGCTGTTCTCTTTGGAGGCCCTGAGTGAACTGCACCTTACGTTGTAAGCCTCTATCTCCACATGTCACCTAATCTCTATCAGGAGCTTTTCAAAATATTCTTACCCAACTATTTACATTCATAATGCTGCATCAAGCATCACCTGCCATGGGCATCCCATGAATGTTTGTGAAAGAAATGAATCAGCCAATGTGATGGTGGGTGTGAAAAAGAAGGAAGGGTGTAAATGTCCCATGGTTAAACAATTTTTTTTTGAGATGGAGTTTTGCTCTGTCGCCCAGGCTGGAGTGCAGTGGCGCCATCTCAGCTCACTGCAACCTCCGCCTCCTGGGTTCAAGCAATTCTCCTGCCTCAGCCTCCTGAGTAACTGGGATTACAGGAGCCTGCCACCACACCCGGCTAATTTTTTTGTATTTTTAGTAGGGATGAGGTTTCGCCACATTGGGCAGGCTGGTCTCAAACTCCTGAACTCAGGCAATCCGCCAGCCTCAGCCTCCCAAAGTGCTGGGATTACAGGCGTGTGCCCAGCCAAGTCGCTAAACAATTGACTCTTGCATTTCAGGGTACCAAGCCCCATTCTGCCTATCTCATGTTGGAGGCTGTGTGACTCAAAGAAAGTGCTAAACAGTGCAACTTCCCCTGGTCTTTAGCTTTTTAACAAGCAATGAAGGGTTTCCCAGCACTTCTGGAACTTAGTCCTCCTCATGGGAACTGCAAAGAAAAACAGCAGCTCCATATAGCAGCAACTCAAGACAGTTAATGAATTTAAGGGAGGAGAAGCAAAGAAAAAGGAAACAAACATTTATTGAGTGCTGAGCTGGAAGATTCAGTCTTCTTTCTGCCTTCCATGATTATTTATTTTTTACAATAATGCTGAATATACATTATACAACAATCTCCAGGGTGTTGGTTCTATTAGAAAAATGCATTCAAGGTATCTAAATAAGGCATCTGGCATATCATAGATGTGTCTGTAGTCCCAGCTACTCGGGATGCTGAGGCAGGAGAATCACTTGAACCCAGGAGCAGAGGTTGCAGTGAGCCGAGATTGCGCCACTGCACTCTAGTCTGGTGACAGAGTGAGACTCCGTCTCAAAAACAAAACAAAACAAAACAGGAATAAGGTGTAAGATTCAGGGATGCAATCAATTTCAGATAAAGCACGTGTGGCCTTACAACTAAGGGACTTCCTGCCACCTAATGGCAATCAATGCTTGCTGCAGCGGGGCAGCCGAGAACCCCAGGCCTCCTGGTGCAGGCGCTGCAAACCATAGCTTGTGAAGGTCGAAATCTATCAAATATCACGGGTATTCACTCCTATTTGCAAAGGTTATTGCCAAATAATTGTGATCTGAGAGGTCAAGACTGTTTCTCAGTGACCCCCCCCTTTCTCCCTCACCCCTGCATTCTTGAGTATTCCTTTTGCTTCCACACCCCTTGAGTATGCTCCTTTAATGAAAAACACTTTGCTGATGGTGATCTAATGAATCTGTGCCCTAGAGACTTTATAAGTGTCCTGACCAGGGGTAGAGACTTGTCTTACTTATCTGTAAATCCCAAGGCCTGGCACAAAGGAAGTATCCAGTGAATGTTTGTTGAATGAATATAAGTGAATGCTTTTGACCAAACTCTATGACTCAGGCCAAGATTAAGCAGCAGTTTATTTGAATATTCTATATAGTAAACATTTGAAGAGGGTGGTGGGAGAGTGGAAGGGGCTTCTCAGGGAAGTGTCCAAGGCAGAACAAGGCAGGAGGCCCTTGGGCCGTTGACCTGCTTACAAGGCCGTGGATGCCCGGAACTTCTGGGTCAAACAGAACACAGCGGCTGTGAGGGCTGTGCACTGACGGGCCAAGAGTTTCACACTCAGGTCGTGGTAGCCTCTCTCGCAGGTGGATTTAGCGGCCTCTACAAACTGATGGTAGGTATATACCACGTCCCTCAGGTTCCCCGCTGCCTCCCTGTGCCGGGTAGAGCAGCGGCTACAGTCCGTGAACTGAAAGCACAGGCCAGCCAGCTGGACCAGGTGCTGGAAGGTATCACGCACAGCCCCCTGCATCTCTTCAGGGGACTGGTCCATTCTGATCACATGCTGACAGCTCGACAGGAGCTTCTGAGAGCCCATGCAGAGGCGGCTCCGGCTTTCGGTAAAGTACCAGGTGCACTTCTCTGGGGGATGTTTGTTTCCAACCCCCCAGGAAGTTTCTAAAATGTCTTGTAGCTCCAGCAAGCTCTCCATTAGTTGGATGAAGCCCTCAGGGGTTCTGGCAGGGGTGGCTTTCAGCTGTCTCAGTGCCCTGGAGCAGTACTCTGGCCAGATGTGGCTTTTCCTCGACAGGGGTGTGGTGCTGCAGCTGTGGGCTCGGGCAGGCCTCCAGGGCAGAACCATCGGGCTTCCTGCAGAGGGTGGTGAGGTAAGGGGGGCTGTGGGGTGTGTTTCCAAGTCCCTGTCTTCTTCCTCTGTCTCAGGCTGTGGGCCACGGAAGCACGTGGCATAGGAGAACTGACAGCTGCACTGCTCCATCCCTATCCTGGGAGCCACCATCTCATTCATGCCTGCAAAACCCAAAGATGTGGCCATCCTGATGGCAGAGACTTCAGGATGGCTTTCTGGGGCAAAGCACAGAAAAGACTTCTCAGTAGGAAGGCAGATGCTAGAGCTGTCACTTTTGCTTTCTGAGAGTAAGCAATGGTTTGAAGTTTCTAAGTGAGGGTCCTCTTGCAGACACGGTATTGGCTCTGGCAGGGAAGGCCTGGGATTAAAACAGACCCACTCAGGGGTGTCCCTAGGGGCTGTATCTTCCCCTGTCACATGGTTAGGTGTGATCTCCCCTACTTTGATCCCCTCTGTAGGGAGGGCTGATGACATGGTCTGCTTCCCAAGAAAGAAATCAGGGTCTAAATCCAACTCTACTAATAGTTTTTGTTCTTGAGCCTGGCAGGCTTGCCCTTGGGTTTCACTGCTTTGTCCTTGAGGGTCTCTAGGGGGATGTGGTGGGATCTGCTTAGTCCCTGTTACAGGAGCATCTAAAGAAAGGGAGGTTACTATTTTACCAGCTGGAGAACTAACATCAAGAGTCTGTGAAATATTATTTGACACATCAGCTGGGGAGTCACCTGAATCCTTTCTAGATTCTTCCTGAAATATGTCGGTGCCATTTTTGTTTGTAACTTCTCTGTCTCTTTCCAAAGATAGTTGTCCTTGTTGCTCTTCCTTTGTAGGGATAGAAGCTATCTTCTCTCCTGGATTTATTCCACATTCATCACTTCTAGGCTCATCTCCAGGAGACAACAAGGGCTCTGTGTATTTGGGGGCAGTTTCTTGTATATGATTTGTACAAAAAGATTCCAATCCCATTTCCAGCTGGACTTGTCCCAGCTCTAGTGTGTCTCCTTGAGAGACATTAAGTAACCCCGGGTTGATGGCCAAGCAGACTCTGTCTGGGTTAGGGTCCCCGTGCTCTATGGTAAGTTCTTTGGGGTCACTGCTATCCGGGTCTTGAGATAGAGATCGTATTTGGGAAGGGCTGGCCCGAGCAGTATCTGGGCCAGATGAACCTGGGTTAGAACAGTGAGGAGTGCTTGCTGAGGAGCTGGCAACAGAATTCTCTTTACTGCTGGGTTCAATCCGGAAGCGAATGGCAGAAATAGAGGACACTCGAGAGTCGATGACTGATTTGGTTTCCATGGTTTCGGGCTCCATCTCCATGACCCTGGAAGCTGGGTTTGAGGTCTTGGTCTCCCTCAGGGGAGCCAGCAGCCCCAAGGCCTTGGTCTCCAGAAGGCCAGGCTCACCCTGCATGTCTTGCAGAGAGGACACAGTTGGGGAGGGTGCACCAAGGGCCAGGTAGGGCTCCCTGTCATAGTAGCACACGTCATCTATACTCTCCAGGGAGGCTGATGGTACCAGGGGAAATGAGACCTGAGAGGTATAGTCGGTCTGTAGGAAAGACCTTCTTTTCCTCAGGGTCTTGGCATACTTCTTCACCCCTCCCCTCCTGCTTGTCTCTCTTCCATCTGGCCCAGAAGGCTGGCTGTTCTCAGGACTACAAGCACTGGCTTTGTTCTGCAAGCTTGTGGCACTGGGTTCTGCAGCAGAAACAGCTCTGGGTCCTGTAAGTCAGGAAAGAAAAAATACATAAGAAAGCAGAAAAAGAGGTTTATAGAGCTTGGGCTCAGGCCTTGGGCTTGCCTGTGTTCAAATTCTGGCTGGGCTCTGTAAACTTGAGCAAGTTCAATCCTCATGTCCTCAGTTTCCTTATCTGAAAGATGGGGATAATAACTGTGATAAACTTTATTTTATTTTATTTTTTGAGATGGAGTCTCGCTTGGTTGCCCAGGCTGGAGTTCAGTGGCAGGATCTCCGCTCACTGCAACCTCTGTCTCCCAGGTTTAAACAATTCTCCTGCCTCAGCCCCCCGAGGACCTGGAACTACAGGCATCTGCCACCATGCCTGGCTAATTTTTGTATTTTTAGTAGAGATGGGATTTCACCATGTTGGTCAGGCTGGCCTCAAACTCCTGACCTCAAATGATCCACCTGCCTTGGCCTGGGATTACAGGCGTGAGCCACCTTGCCTGGCCGACATTTTTTTTTTTATTTTGAGACAGGGTCTTACTCTGTCCCCAGGCTGTAGGGCAGTGGTGTAATCACAGCTTACGATAGGCTTGTACTCCTGAGCTCAAGCCATCCTTCCACCTCAGCCTCCCAAGGTGCTTGGATCATAAGCTTGAGCCACTGCACCCAGCTGTGATAGACATCCCACATGTCTGTATGAGGAACCTGATAGAAACACAGACACCAGATCCCCTACCTTCTGATATCAGGGTCCCTTGGACCACAGAAGGCCTTGTGGGGCCACAGATGGCCTGTCCACCAGGTTCTTCTTGCTTGAAGACCTCCTTTAATACAGCCTCAGGATCAGTGATGGCAATAGCCACTTTGCTCTGCTGGGCACTCCTGTCAAGCCCTTTTCTTTTCTGTAAATTCTTTCCCTCCCATGAGACCCAGTCCATTGGCCCCCTCTTCTGGGAAGGCTTCCCTGACTCCCACTGTTGGATGATGCCCTCCCATCTCTGCTTGCCACAGTTCTCTGAACCTCCCTTGCAGCGCTGCCATAATGCCTAAAATTTGGTCCACAGAATCTGGATCTACCTCCTCAGAAGTGGACAGGGACCCTATTTTACTCATGAGTCTTCCTCTTAAGCTTGGCTCTGGGCCTTGGCCCCTGGGAGGTACTCAGGGGCTGCCTGCAGGGTCTGCAGACCTGCGCGGGAGGGCTCACCTGAGGGCGGGCCTGGGGGAGTAAGCTTATCAGCAGCATCATAGTATTCCTCATCTGAGCTGCCATCCTCAAAGGCCAGTGGTGGGTGCAAGGCCAGGGATTCCAGCATGGAGCTGGACTGGGCCTCAGTCCAGCACTGCTGACCCCAGGCTGGCAGGGCGCCCCCTTGCCGGGAAGCTGTGCTCTCAGAACTGTCGCTCAGGTGGCTGGCCGGGGAGACGCTGGAGCACAGGCTGTAGTAGTCGGCGCGGCTGCCTTCATACAGCCTGGGGTCCAGCCTGACTGTGCTCAGTTCTGCTGCCCAGCCAAATGTCTCCGGAGCGGCACTCTCAGAAAACTCTGTCTTCTGGCACTGGGGGTTGGCTCTCTGGGCCAGGTCCAGGAGGCAGAGGAAGCCACTGGTTTCAGTCCTGCTCCTCTGCTCCTGGCTGTCAGAATCAATGCTCTCTGGGAGGCCTGGTGAGCCGAAGTGGAAGAAGGCGGACCGGCTAGAGGAGCAGGCGTCTAAGTCGTCCTCTTCCAGAGCGTCCATGGACTCGCTCGAGCCACTGGTCCTGTAGCCGCGGCTCTCGGTGTTAGCTGAGTCAGATGCCTCAGACTCGGCACTGTCTGTCATGCTGCTGGCCCCGCAGGTGCTTGGGCCCTTCCTCGCCACCTCAGGAGTGGGGCTGTTCCCAGGAGGCTGCTCCTCCTTTATGAGCGATCTGCAGGGTCCCAGCTTCACCAGGCGCCTGTCGGAGAGAGGCTCGAGAACGCAGTCCACCTCAGAGGACTCCTCTGAGTCACTGCAGGCCCTGGACTCATAGCCTGCAACACAGGACACACCAAGGGTTACAAAACAGAGTTCTCCGGCCTGTGTCCTTCCAGCCCCTCGACCCCCACCCAACCCTGACAGACGAGAAAACAGAGGGCCACGGGGTGGCCAGCCTAAGATCGTGCTATACTGATGAACATAGGATCCGAGGGACTCCCGCTTCCCTCTTCCCTCCACGCTATCAGACCACCTGTCCCACATCGCTCTGAGCTAGAGGAGGCTGGATTAACTCCATCCCCACCTCCGGGGAGAACTGTCTGTTCATGGAAATGTGGTATTTACTTTGATTCCTCTTTGCGTGGGCAGCGCTGCCCAGGTTTGGTAAGCCCCTCCCCAGACCTCAGCTCTGTCCTGTCTGGGCATCCAAGTCAGATGGGGAATCATATTTTTAAAATACCACAGATCCTTGGCCCTGCCCGTGATGTACTGAGTCAAATCTCTAGAAGTAGGGCCTGAGAATCTGTATTTTTAGCAATTTTATGGGGAGTATGAGTCTGCTAGGCTGGCACCATTCTAAAGCCTGGCCTTCTGGATCCCCGGGTGCTATGGGCCTTGTAGGACAGTGAAAACTCATCCAGTGGCAGGTTCCCAGGAAGGACTGATGGTAGGAGGGTGGGGAGTCCTAAGGCAGGTTGCAATCTCTTTTTCCCTGTTAGCCTCCAGAGTGATCTTTCTCAGACTTCTCTCTGACCTCATCACACCCTGCTTAAACCCTCTGATGGCTACCCCTGCCTACGGGGACAAGCCTGACCTCTCCCACAAGTTACAGACTCTCGCTATATGGCCTTGTTGCCCTTCTCACAGGATGGCCCTGGCCCCTCACCCGCAGTTAGTCCTCCCTTCCCTCAAAGATTGGCCCTAAGGCCTCCTCCGCAGGCTCTTTCCCGCCTCCCAGGATGGCCCTGGACCCTCCTCTGCAGCTTAGTGCCACCCAACAGGATGGTCTTGACCCCTCCTCTTCAGTCCAGTGTCCCCCTCACAGAATGGCCCCGAGGCCTCCTCTGCAGCCTAGCTGCCCTTTTCATGGTGGGGCTCCTCTCTCTTTTCACCACCTCCCTTTTCCCTTCTTGCAATATGGTCCAGCCCCTCCTCAGGCACCCAGTCCCCCATGGCAGCCTTCCCCGCCGTGCTCCAGCCACACATAGGGAGAGTTTCTTTCAGGTCACGGCCTTTTCCTGTGTCATTCCTCCAGGCCCCCTTGGCCTTGAATGATCTGTGTTCCTTTCCATGCCTGGTTAACTCCACCATGTTCTTCAAGATTGATTTGCAATACCTCTTCATCTAGAGCTGTTTCTCTGACAGGCAGCAGTGGTCTCCCCAGCCCCTCCACAACAGCCCTGTTCCCACTCCATCTTGTCTCCCTGAGTAGGCTCTGAGGAGTCACCCCTCATTCATAAATACATTGTGTAAAAACAAAGGTAACAGGCTGGGCGCAGTGGCTCACACCTGTAACCCCAGCACTTTGAGAGGCCAAGGTGGGCAGATCATTTGAGGTCAGGCGTTCGAGACCAGCCTGACCAACATGGCAAAACCCCGTCTCTACTAAAACACAAAAATTAGCCGGGCCTGGTGGCATGTGTTTGTAATCTCAGATACTTGGGAGGCTGAGGCAGGAGAATACTTGAACCCAGGAGGTAGAGGTTGCAGTGAGCTAAGATTATACCACCATACTCCAGCCTGGGTGACAGAGAGAGACTTCCTCTAAAAAATAAAAATAAAAATAAAAAAATAAAACTAAGGTAAGAGATACTCCAAATTTGTCACTTTCTAACTGTTTGACTTTATTTTATGAATACCTAGTCTCTTAAGATGATTTCTACTTTATCCATATAGAGGAAACATGTTACAATGGTGTGTTACTAATCACCTCTTCTCATCTCCACATGTGGTGACAACACATTGTGGTAGCCTGAAATTACTCACGGTGAGAGTGTTGACACCATGGAATTGGGCAATTCCTTCAAATCCTTTTTCCCCGGTGCAGGGAGCTGTTAAACATTTATCAGCATAGCCCTGGGGACATGCTACACCAATGGTGCTGAAGCAAAAGTCTGACAGAAACTGGAAGCTGGCCTGGGAAACTGTCTTACCTCCCTTGCAGAGAAGTTATTTTATACTTCAAGAGATTACAAAAGAGTGCATGGGTATAGAAGAGAAGCCAGGTCATCTACTTAAATGACATCTCTTTTTGATGAGAAATAAGTGACATCTCTTTTTGATGAGAAATAATTGTGATCTTTGAGATGGAATTTCACTATTGTTGCCCAGGCTGGAGTGCAATGGCGTGACCTTGGCTCACTGCAACCTCCACCTCCTGCGTTCAAGCGATTCTCCTGCCTCAGCCTCCCAAGTAGCTGGGATTACAGGTTTGAGCCACCGCATCTGGCTATTTTTTTTTTTTTTTTTTTGGTGGCACACACCACAGGCATGTGCCATCATGCCAGGCTAATTTTTGTATTTTTAGTAGAGACAGGGTTTCACCATGTTGGTCAGGATGGCATAGAACTCCTGACCTCGTGATCCACTCACCTCGGCCTCCCAAAGTGCTGGGATTAAAGGTGTGAGCCACTACACCCAGCCTAATTTTGTATTTTTAGTAGAGATGGAATTTCACCATGTTGGCCAGGCTGGTCTCGAACTCCTGATTTCAGGTGATCCACCTACATAGGCTTCACAAAGTGGTGGGATTACAGGCATGAGCCACGATGCCTGGCTGAGAAATAATAGTAAAACAGTGAATCTGAGGGATGATGTTAGGAAGTACTGCAGGGAACTGGAGCTCTTCCACAGCATTCCTTGGTTTCAGGGAAATTTCAGATACAGAGAAAACTTCTTGGTTTAGTATTTATGAAAGATCAACTGTTTACTAGGAAATAAGCAGAGAAATAGCTCCCATCCACTTGAGCTGAAGTCTCGGCTTAATTCAATTCACCACCTCCCTTTAGGACACCCTTACCTACAAGGCCAGTGAAAGGGGCCTGTCCTTACTGGGACAAGTCTCAGCGCCTCACCTTCTTCTGCAGATACCCGGTGCACTTGTTTGTTTCCAGGCCAGAGGAAAATTGAGGTAACTGGGTCAACCAGCAGCCTGTAGTACCCAGCAATCAGGCAGGCTAAGTCTTTTGCACTGTTGGATTCCAGCAGCAAAGTCAGAACCTTTGAAAGCAAAGAGAAGTCTCATGTTTATTAAGGACCAAGGGACAGTCTGAAGACTGACAACAAAATCATGTGGGACCAACGAGAGATTCCACGTAAATCTGGCCATGGTCCACAGGCAGGTCTCCCCGTGCCCCATATTCTCACTTGCGAGGCTTTAAATGAGGATATTCATGTACTCATACACAGACACCATCACGTGTGTGCACCTGCGCATACACACACACTCACACATGCAGTAGGTTCTTCCCACCCAATCTACATGTGTCTTCTGCCTCCTCATCCTCTACCCCAGCCCTATATCCAAACTGCCCCATCCCCCCCATCCCCAAACTTCAATGGGGACTTTTCAAGACTTGACTTAAAAAAGAAAAAGGAGCAAGAACAAGTGGAGAATGAGGGAGAGAGGGATAAGAAGAATAAAGCACCACTCTTGAGTATGTTGGGACTAAATCAAAGGTGGGCAGGATAAAAGTAAGACCTTCCAGAGAGGCTTAGGAGGTACCCTGCACTATTTACCCTTATTTTTATTTTTTATTGTTTTGAGATAGAGTTTTGCTCTTGTTGCCCAGGCTGGAGTGCAGTGGTATGATCTTTGCTCATTGAAACCTCTGCCTCCTGGGTTTAAGCAATTCTCCTGCCTCAGCCTCCCAAGTAGTTGGGATTACAGGCATAAGCCACCACGACCAGCCCACTATTTACCTATTTTAATGCCCACCACTCAAAGCTTTTGGGCAGCCATCTGGTCCCATGCATGTGACAAAATCCTCTGGTGTTCTCCATCTACGTTTTTAAACCCAACAGGAAAGCACATGGTCCATCTCAGTTTGTACAAAAAAACCTTTTAGGACCTCTTCAGAAAAATGTACCATTTACCACTTTCCCTTTGATAGAACAGGAGGGACAATTCATACTCTTAAGCAGATATTGAACATTAAACTTTATTATTATTTTAAACTCAGATACATTAGCCTGGCTCCTATTTGGCCCCAAATTCCAGCAGTTGAATTCAGAATCTCTCCCCATTGTGTTACCTTGACGTCCTGAAGATACACTTTGACCATGCCCACTTTCTCAGACTCTTCTGTCAGCTCTACGCGGCTGATGCTTGCAAACTCTGCCAATGTGGACATGATGTTAAGTTTGCTGTTGATAATCTGGCTAATCCCATACTTGGCTCCAACTAGAAGGGCAATGTAGGATTCTCTATCCTGTAACTGCAGAGGGTGGAAGGGGAATTACTTTCCATTCACAAGCTAGTGAAAATACATTTCACATGTAAGAAATAATACCTCCCTCTGCAAGCTCCTTGATTCCTACTTCAGGTCCTAACCACTACTCCCCTCGACTATTGCTAGCTTGGGCCCCGTCAACAGCTAAATCTAAGTGTAAATTTATCTCCCCAAAAACTCTTTCCAATACAGCCCTAAGCCACAGCCATAAACACATCTGTATTTTCACATCTATATATCTATCTTCCTCCTCTTTGAATCCCTTCCCTGCCATCTTTTCCTATTTAAATCCTGATCCTTCTTTAAAAGCTTACGTCAAAACCTACTGCCTGTGGAAAGCATCTGCCTGATCTCAGCCTCCTTAAGCCAATGTCCCTTTTCTCTCTGTTGTTCCTGTCCCACTTCCTCTTACTTCTCTACTAGCACTGAGCACTTATGACTTCTTATTTTAATTATTTGTATCCAAGTCTCATTTTCCACGTTAAGTTCCTTGACAACAGAGTCTGCCTTTATCTTTATTTGTAACCCGCAGTGCCCAGCAAGCACCCTGAACCAGTTCAATGTAGTTGGTTGCTTCTCCCACTGCCAGTTCTTTCCTTAGACAAGAAAGGTAAAGGGAGATTGGGGACTGGAACTTGACAGCTGGGAGACGGCAGAATTAGCCCTTGGAAAAATTGGGAAGTTTGTCTGGTACCTTCAAAATTTCATTTCTGTGATCTAGTTGCTTTTCCACCTTTTGGGTCTTCTACTTAAACAAAGAATCCATCTATGTTTCCCTTTTGCCTAACTATCTGATGCTCTTCCTTTCTTTCAAAGTACTGATTCTCATCTACATTGTTAGGTTAGCAATCTGATTACACTGGTCCATCACTGTAAATGACAGAAGCACACCAAATCTTTTGAAAGGACTTTGGTTAAAAGTCCTTTTGTTAAAACCCCACTCTAATTGGTAAATTGGTTTTGTGCTGCAGAGTTCTGGGGCTGACAGTGCCGAAGGAAAGTGCTCTTAAACCACGCCCCCTAGACACTGACTGCTTCACAGCACACGCGTTAGGCCTAGGCTCCAAAAAAAGAGGCAGGCGGAAGAATGGGAAGGGAGCAGAGGGCTTTTCTGCTTCTCCTCTCCCTTCTCAGCCCCACCCTTCATTCCTCCCTTCTTCTGAACAATCAGAGCCTCAGCTTGGCAGTTGAACACTCTTATTTTTCTTTCATGATTTCCAACTTTCCTCTTCACCCTCATACACCCAAAGCTCCAGAGTGAACTGCTTACTGTTCCCTTCCAACCCAGAATGCCTTTTCCTCTCTACCGAAGTCTGGCCAAATTCAGGCTTCCTCTTGCCTCTTTCCTCAATCCCTTCTCCTTCCTATACTTACCCTGAAGCAAGCAGTGCTGCCTTCTGTCTCCAAATTCCTCAGCAATAGGCCTAAACCTGTCTCCTGGCTTTGTAGGTTGCTTCATCCTTCAAGGATGGAAATCTCGTCTTATTCAGCCTGGCTTCCCCTAGTATCATGGGGGTAGCACCAAGCAATGGCATGATGAATATTTTCCAGTAGGGTACTATTTAGTTTCCCAAACAAATTCTAGTACATGACAGAATCCTTAGGAATTTTAGGCTAAAAGATACATTGATTTTCTGAGGATCTCTAAGGTCCCTTACGTCAGTAGGATTTCACAGTTCTCTAATACACACCATTAAAGTAGCATTAAAGATTCTTCCACCATATGTCTTGAGTTCTCCGAGGATCTGTAGATAATTTAAACGTAGCTGGGCAGCAGAAATAAGTTGCTTAAAAACAACAACAACAACAAAAAAAAAAAAACAAAAAAAACTCGAAGTCAGGGCTTTACATTGGCCTAAAATCCAGGTAATGTTGAAAATGTTTTTCACAAGAACAGAACACCAAACGCCACATGTTCTCACTCATAAGTGGGTACTGAACAATGAGAACACATGGACACAGGGAGGGGGAACATCATACACGGGGGCCTGTTTGGGGGTGGGGGGAGGCTAGGGGAGGGATAGCAGAGGGTAGGGGGATTGGGAAGGGATAACATTAGGAGAAATACCTAGTGTAGATGACAAGGAGATGGATGCAGCAAACCACCATGACATATGTATACCTATGTAACAAACCTACACATTCTACCCATGTAATCAAGAACTTAAATATATATACACACACACGTATATATACACATGCATACACATATATACACACACACACGTACACACACACACATATATACATATATATATATATAAAGAAAATATTTTCCCCAAGGTTTCACAGCAGATAGCTGGGTGGGTGGGCAGAGGCACCTTCATTACCTTCTGTCGGGGTTCCAGCAAATTCTGGTTCCTCTTCATGTGGAAGCTAATGGCTTTCTTGATGTCTTTGCCTTTCATGTTTCGGAGTAAAGTTGGAGATATAAAGTTCTCTATTCCCCAGTCTTTCCTGCCATGAGACATTGGAGACAAGGAGGCCCATTTCTACAGTGTACTTGGCTCTAATGAAGAGCATAATTACATTTGATTCAGTACTTAGTATTCCCATAATACAGCAATTATGAGCCACTTTCTCCTCCTCTTTTTCTCACACACACACACATACACACACTCTCCACAAAAATCCCCGCAGGCATTCAGGAATTAAACCCCATTGATCATTCCAAAAGCACATTACTCTTGGTGTGGTGTGACACTCTACCAATCAGAGCAGGAGTTCTCAATTTTTTTCACTATAAAATACGTCGCAAATAATGACAGCATATGTACAACACACTCTCGTGGGGCAACACAGAGCTCCTGTGAATGCCCTAAGCCGAGCTTCAGAATGGTGCCAGCCTAGCAGCCTCAAAATCCCCCAGAAACTTGCTAAAAATACAGACTCTCAGGCCCCACTTCTAGAGATTGGACTCAGTACATAAGGGGTAGAACCAAGGATCTGCTGTATTTTAAAAAATGATTCCCCATCTGATTTTGATGCTCAGGCAGGACAGGGCTGAGATCTGGGAAGGGGCTTAGCAAACCTCATTGATGCTGTCCAGAACAATTCTAAGCTAAGAATCAGAAGGTGCTGGAATCCTAGGATTTGAAACTGCCCTTGTGGAGACATAATGCAATAGGAACTGGTTCATATCCGTGGGAAAAACTGATTTCCAAAGCATTCCCACCCTTAGAAAAGCTTAACACTGATGCTGGCAACTGATTTCCCAAGACATCCTCCCAGGAACTTGGAATTTGCAAGGGGATCCTGTGTTGTTCCATCTGGAGTTGGCTTCTGTACAAGAGAGAGCAGCCAGGTTCAGACATCTGGGGAAGCCAGGTCCAATTAGAGAGGATGCAGAGGGAAATGGATGGAAAGACAACAGACAGATAGATGGGTAGGTGGGTGACTATCTGCTTTCTGTGGCATCTGGCCCTCCTGGCTAGGGGCCAGCAAGTTATAAATGCAATGCAGCTACCATCCCCTGCCACTCACTCTATATACTTTAAAGAGATCTTCTGTGGCTGGGCACAGGCATAGATCCGCTCCTGGATGTGCAGGGCTGCGAGTCGGAGTGCAGAGCTACATTTCATTTCTACAGCAAAGCGTTCCTGGAGCACATCGCTGCAGCTCTAGAAGAGATGGGACAGAGCAGATGGGAAACAGAAGAAGACACATTGTGTCCCCTCATTGTCTCAGGTGAAGGACCAGTGGCTCAGCTTTGAGAGCTGGGTCTCACAGTTCTTGGCTGTGTGACCTTGGTTAAGTTACTAAGACTCTCTGAGCATTTGGTGTCTTCCATTGGTAGATGAGGATAGTAAAATCTACCTTACATGGTTTCTGTGAGGCTCAAATTAGATAATGCATATGAAAGCAGGTATAAGGCACACAGTATTATACAAACATAAAGTATTGTGGTTTATAATAGCAACCACAAGATGGCATTGTGGTTGCTATTACTCTTATTATTTTCTGCCATCATTTCTGTAAGACTTGAGGCAGGCCAACCCACCTAGTCTCAGTTATCTCATCTGTAAAATGGTGATATCTGCCAAATGAATCTTTTTCTTTTTTTTCTTTTTTTTTTTTTGGAGACAGAATCTCACTCTGTCACCCAGGCTGGGGTGCAGTGGTATGATCTCAGCTCACTGCAACCATCACCTCTGGGTTCAAATGATTCTCCCACCTCAGCCTCTTGAGTAGCTGGGACTATAGGTGCATGCCACCAAGCCTGGCTCATTTTTTGCATGCCTGATAGAGGCAGGGTTTCACCATGTTGGCCAGGCTGGTCTCAAACTCAAGTGGTCCACCTGCCTTGGCCTCCCAAAGTGCTGACATTACAGGTGTGAGCCGTCGTGCTCGGCTCCAAATGATTCTTTTTCATCAGAATAAAAATGACATAATAACTCTCATCTAAGGAGGCAGAATAGACAGAGCACCAGGCCACAGATCAAGAACCAGGTTTTGGTTCTGCCACTAAGTGGGTGACCCAGGCAAATCACATGACCTTTCCAAGACTCAGTGTCATCATTCTAAAATGAGGCTTTGAAGCACTAAGGCCTCTTTTAGCAATAAAAACTGTAATTCTAAAGATCCTAAAATAGTATTAGAAAATGTATCGTCTACACTGAGGACTGAGCATGAATTTCATTCTTACATTGCAAATCTGCTAACACAGCAATTCAGTGATGGAAAAGGGAATGCTGAGCAATGGTCAGGCCCATTCTCCTTCAGATAAAGATAATCCCTACCAAGGAGTTGTTTAATTGCCTTGAGCTTATGTTCAAAATAACCCAGTGTACCATCTTTGAGAACAAACACTGTTATTTTGGGAAGCACAGACCCAGTCACCTGCAGATAGAGGTATTCAAAGGCCACGGGGTCTTCTTTCAGGAGGTCCAGGGGGTCCTTGGGAACAAAGCATACCCTGAAGAGGCAGCGGTAGTCATGTGACTCCTCCCTTTCTACCACCTGCGTTGGGTAAGGGAGACACTGTTAATCTTCTAACCACCTTTGTCCTTGCAGCCATTCCACAAAACTACTCTGTAAAACACAGACAGTGAAAGACAATCCCCAGAGAAGTCAATTCTGGTGCATCCCAAGACAGACAGAGACCTTTGCTCCTACTTTGACTTTCTTTCTCATGGGTATAAAATGTAAAAGGTTCAAAAGGCCACCATTTCCCACTCACCCACCCTCAATTTCCCTTTCCCGGGGAAACTCCTGCTTCCACTATCTTGTGTGCCCCTTCTAGAGAGCATTATCGTGTTTCAATATCCTTTCTCTTCCATAAATAGTAATATAGTATACATACCATTCTGCACCTTACTTTATTTCACTTAAACTATCTTAGGGATTTAATTTTATTTTCTTTCCCAGTGCAAATGGAATAAAAGCCATTAAAATGCCTGCAAGCAGTTAACCTTCTAATAGGTGAGTGCATTGGGTAAGAATTCATCTACAAAGAGGAATGCTCAGGGTGGCTTTTATGAGGTTACATCTTACTCATTTTCAACTGCTAAAATCCTCCTCATCTTTGTAACAGACTCAACAAAGATTTGTTGAATTAACTTGTGTTTAGCTTTAAAAAGTTGGGAGATTGAGTGGTATAGGCCGTTTGGCTGTGTTTGCCCTGTTCTACCATCAGGAACCATATCAGGGAGGTAAGTCCCACAGGAAGGGCTTAGATGCAGCAACAAATGCTTCCCTAACACCTCAAAGGCAGCAGGTGCAAGGGAAGATCATCAGAGCTAGAAGCAGAAGATCAGGGTTCTATCAGCTGTGTTACCTTGGGAACATCACCTTCCCTCTCTAAGCCTTTGTCTCCACATCTGCAAAATGGGAACCTTAAACCTGTGTCCTGCCTACCTCATACTAGTAGATGAAAATCAGGCCGATTCTTGTCCCATAACCCCCAGGCTGAGTGAGCTCTGTACCTTCTGGGGCAAGAGAAAGTGCAACAAACATGCAGACATGCTGAGCCCTGTCCCCAGAGGTTCTGGCTGAGCCGTGCAGTCCAGCCCATGCCTCCCCGGAGCAAGCAGCCAGTCCTTCCTACCTGCTGGATGAGTTCCTCTTCATGCAGCAGGTGCAGCCGGGAGATGCTGTACTGCTCTTCCAGGACCAGTGCAAAGTACTCGATACTTCGGATGGACAGCTTCTCCTTCACAGTGAGGATGATGTCCTAGCAGGCAGAGAGGTACAGGGGTTACTCAAGGAACAGGGAGGACTTCCCTGACCTTCCTGCCATTCCTCAGTGCAGCTAGGGAGAGAAAAGTCTGCACTGATGGGCCCACTGCCGACTTAGGTAGGAATCTGGCCCCACTCATCAGGCCCCTAATGAACCTGCAGCTGCAGCTCCCCTCTTCTTAAGCTCCATTGCCACCCATATAGCCACCCTGTCTTGCTTTACTTGGAAAGCTGAACCCATCCAGTGGAGGCTTCTGCCTCTCTCCTATGTCTCTAGACTTATTCTCTCTCTGGAGTTCCCAGTCTGGTGTTTTTTGTTGTTGTTGTTTTTGTGTTGTTTTTGTTTTGTTTTTTGAGACAGGGCCTTGCTCTGTCTCCCAGGCTGGAGTGCAGTGGTGCAATCTTGGCTCACTGCAACATTTGCCTCCTGGGTTCAAGCAGTTCTCCTGCTTCGGCTTCCTGGGTAGCTGGGATGACAGGCATGTGCCACCATGCCCAGATAATTTTTCTATTTTTAGTAGAGATGGGGTTTTGCCATGTTGCCCAAGCTGGTCTCTAACTCCTGATCTCAAGTGATCCTGACCTCAAGTGATCTGGCCTCCAAGAGGGCTAGAATTACAGGTGTGTGCCACCATACCAGACTAATATTTTTGTATTTTATTAGAGATGGGGTTTCACCATGTTGGCCAGGCTCCCAGTCTGTATCTTTGACTGCTTACTAGATAGATTCCCACTACCCACTCACTATGCAACTGAGGGAAATGTCTCTTTTTTTTTTTTTTTTTGAGACAGAATCTCGCTCTGTCACCCAGGCTGGAGTGTAATGGCATGATCTCAGCTCACTGCAGCCACTGCCTCCCTGGTTCAAGCAATTCTTGTGCCTCAGCCACCCAAGTAGCTGGGATTACAGGTGTGCGCCACCATGCCCAGCTAATTTTTGTATTTTTAGTAGAGATGGGGTTTCACCATATTGGCCAGGCTGGTCTCAAACTCCCAACCTCAGGTGATCTGCCCAACTCAGCCTTCCAAAGTGCTGGGATTACAGGCGTGAGCCATCACATCTGCCTACAACTGAGGGACACTTCTGAACCTCAGTCACTTCTTCTGCAAAATGGAGGACAATAATGCCCACTTTTGAGAGTGGCTGATGGGACAGAATGGTCGTGAATGTTGTGCTGACACATCCTGGTTGCCACGCCGCACTCTTCTTGCTCACTAGAACAGCCCTCTGTGACCACAAAGTCTTTGCTGCCTCGGAGCATTCACACATGCTGTTCCCTCTGCCTGGTTTACTTTCCCAATTACTCTTTCCAGGTCTGTTTCTTTCTCTTCCTTCGGGTCTCAGCCCAAATGTCACCTCTTAGAGAGGCCTTCTCTGGCCAGTGTACATAAATGTAATCATCCCTGTTATTCTGTGTCCCGGTGTCCTGTTTATTTCCTTCACCATTATTTAATATCATTTTCTTCAATTAACAGCATGGTAAAGTTAATTGAATGGGGTTTGAGACCTACACTCCCAATTCCCAGCTATAATTGCTCCTTCTCTCCATGCCTCAGTGTTTCCATCTGTAGAATGGTAAAAATATTAACACCTATCTCATAGGGAGTTGTTGTGTACATTGAATTGATTTCCCCATAGAAGGCACTCAGAACAGTACCTGGCAGATGGTAAGTATTCAATGCATGCCAACTGCTAATCTCTGTTCTCCTGCCTATTGTCTTTCATCGCACTAGACGGTAAACTCTCTGAGAATGTGCACCTTGCCTGTGCTGTGCTCTGCTAAGCAGTATATTCAGTGCCTGGCACTTAGTAGATGCACACAAACTTTCACTTGGTGAATAAACAAAAATCATAAATGTCCTGCCAGAACCTCAAACATAGTAAGTCCCGCACCATTAGGTGCTACTTCCTTCTCACGACTCCCGATTCGGAATCCTCTCTCCACTTGTTCATCACCCCCCATAACTACCCCCTGACTAGTCCTGAAGGGGCTGTTTACTTCTGCAGCTCCACACCATTAATTCAGTGCTGACCATGTGCCCAGCATTGTGCTGGCCCTGATGGAAAGCCTGTCTCTTGACTCTGTCCCTTCTCCATTCTCCCACGTCTACCTCGGCTTGGGCTCATGCATTCCGCTGGGCTTTGTAGAGGGATGTCCTGTGAACTCTCCTGCCACCCAGCTGTTCCCCACTTTGCACGTAGAGCAAAGGTTGGCAAACCGTAGCCTGTGGAGCAAATCCAGCCCACTGCCTATTTTTGTAATTAAGGTTTTGTGGGAATATAGCCATGCGCATTTGCTACAATGACAGAGTTGCATAACTATGACAGAGATCCTGTGGCCTGCAAAACCTAAAATATTCACTGTCTGGCCCACTGCAGAAGGTTTGCTGACTTTTGATCTAAGGAATTTGTCTAAGCCTTGTACTAAGCATGCTCTCCCTTGCTCAAGAACGTTCAGTGGCTCTTGATGGCCCACTGGCCAAAATACAAACTCCTCAGCTTAATATTCAAGGCTCTCAAAGTATCAGGTGCCAAACCACTTCTCCCACTTTACGTTCTGCTGCTTATCCCAATGCACTCTGCCCACAAGCCCCATGCACTTGTCAAACTTGCCCATTTCTGGATCTTTGTTGGCACTGCTCCCCGTGCCTGGATGTTGCCTTCACACATCACTCCTGGCCCACTCCAGTCAAAAGCCCATCTATCTTTCTGAGTCTGCCATGCAGGCTACCACTCCACTCCCCCAGAGGCCTTTTCTTGACACTCAGCTGTAAGTTGCTCTCCTCTGAGCCGGTACCACATGGCTTCTGTCCCCCTTTCATGATCTGAAGCACACTGTACCTCATTTCACTGTGGGTTGTGTCCAGGTCTCATCTCCTCACCCTAGCCCCACCCCAAGACTCCAGGCTTCCTAAGAGTATAACCCTGGGTTATTTATTCATTTGTTTATTAATTTAATTTAATTTTTTGAGACAGAGTTTCGCTTTCGTCGTCCAGGCTGGAATGCAGTGGTGCAATCTCGGCTCACTACAACCTTTGCCTCCGGGGTTCAAGCAGTTCTCCTGCCTTAGCCTCCCAAGTAGCTGGGACTACAGGCATGTACCACCATGCCTGGCTAATTTTTGTATTATTAGTAGAAAGAGGGTTTCACCATGTTGGCCAGGCTGGTCTCAAACTCTTGACCTCAGGTGATCCAACTGCCTCAGCCTCCCAAAATGCTGGGATTACAGGCGTGAGTCACTGAACCCGGCTCCTGGGTAATTTATTGCCAAGTTGTTGGTGATACAGAAATGCCTGGCACACACAAAGTGTCAACAAATGTTTACCAGTCAAATGACATATTCTTTTTCCTGATTTAGAGAAAGAGGGTTTTCTAATACAATAACTTTTCTTCCCTTGGTAAGGGAAAGGGGAAGAGAAGTCACTGATGAACTGATCGTAATTTTTCCTTTTTTCACTCCTAAGATTTATTTATATCTACTACTGTCTGTGTCATAAGCAGCTAAAGGCTTTGCTTTAAAAAAATTTGGCTACTACAGATAAGTAAGATTAACCAGTACTACACTGGCTAAGTCCTTGTTCATTTCCCCAACTCTCTCTAACATCTTAAGTTTAATTTCCCTGTAATGTGGGGCTTTATTGTAAATTACCTCAAAGTCCTTTTGACCACCAAAGGAGGACTTGCTTTAAAGAACTCTTCCATTCCAATCCAATTAGTAACCCCTTTGATCAAAGGTGACGAAAGTAGAACTCTTGTCTAATTCATTTGCAAAACTTCCCTTTTATGCAGAATGGCAGAGTGACAAGATCCAGCACAGAGTTCAAAAACAGACCAAGTTTGAAGACAGTTCTGAGCTAGCTGACCTTGACAACTTCTGGACCTCTTGGGCCTGTATTCTCATGTGCAAAGTGGGGATAACTAGTTACTTCACAAGGTTGCTAGGGCCTTAAATGAGATTGTATATAAGGAAGTGCCTAGGAAGAGTGCCTGGTGTGTAGTTAACACTTAAAGTCTATTCCTCTCTCGCCTTCCTCCTCCAGGCTTGAAGTTCCCCTGGTTCAGAAAGCCCTTCTCCAGCTTCTTCTAAGTCACATTTAGGAAGAAATAGAATAGAGCATTTGGAGCAGCTGTAGGAATTGCCAAATGAAGGTGCCAGAGAGAAACACTAGATGTGTGCGTGTAGGTGTATGTATATTGTACATGTGTGTGAGTGTACTGTGTGAATGTCTGTGTGTGCATGTGTGCCTTGGCTACTGTTGATCACCTGCAGTGGCACTGGCCTACCTGAACCTGCTCTCCACCTTGTACCAGAAGAGCTGGGCTCAATGTTTCCTCCTACAAGGTTTTTATGTTCAAACAACTTTGCTTCTTCACTGCAGCCTCACTCTAACACTATTTACTCCCTTGTTCAACAACTGTCGACACCGTACATTATTATCTATGGATAAAAGTCAAGCTCTGTTGTTACCTGGCATTTGAGGCCCTTCCCAGCCACTCCTCCCACAAGAAAACAGCCTGTGCCCCAGTCCTGCTAAATAGTTTGCTATTTCCTGGGCATTGCCCATTTTTCTGGCTCTCTGCGTTAGTTCATGTAACTCTCTGATTGATATGTACCCTACCCTCAACTGCCCTGTCCTTACTGGCACTTGTTGAAATCTTAGTTGTCCTCCAAAGCTCAGCGCAGGTCCAGCTTCTTTCCCAAGCCTCGTCTGATGTCCGGACAGGCTGGAACAGATGGTACTCTTCACCTTGCACTCAGCCCTTACTTCATCCTGCCGTGGACTATTGGGCATTCCCTGAATGTCCACCCTCCCTAAACTAGACTGCGAACTTCTGAAGACAGAGACCACCCTTGACTAAGCTCAGTAACCCCTCTCAGAATCTCATATGGGGAAACTTGTAAAGGATAAGTTCAATTGACTTTTATTTTTTATTTATTTTTGAAACGGAATCTCGCTCTGTCACCCAGGCTGGAATGCAGTGGTATGATCTCAGCTCACTGTAACCTCCACCTCCTGGGTTCACATGATTCTCCTGCCTCAGCCTCCTGAGCAGCTGGGATTACAGGCGTACGCCACTGTGCTGGCTAATTTTTGTATTTTTAATAGAGACAGGGTTTCACCATGTTGGCCAGGATGGTCTCAAACTCCCAACCTTAGGTGATCCGCCCATCTCAGCCTCCCAAAGTGCTGGGATTATAGGTGTGAGCCGTTGTGCCCAGCCAATTGACTTTAACAAAGAACAGAAAAGGCAGAGCCTGGACTTTTCTGACATCTCACCTGGGTTTTCAGCTGCTCTAGTGTTTGGGGTAGCAGGTAGAGTAGCAGACAAATAGCAGGCAAGCCTGGTGGTTATGGGTGGAGGTTTAGGAGTTCTAATCTGACCTTTCGGCAAGTCACTTAATCTCCCTAATTCCTGATTCCCACCCTCTAACCCCCACCCAGTTAAGATGATGGTAAAAATGCCATCTTTCTGGGTGGTTGTGCAACTAAATGAGATAACATGGTACTTGGCTTATTACTATAGGAGCTCATATTACAGGGACCATGGTGCTTGTGAGACCACCAAGGCAGATGCAGGGCAAGATGCCTGGAGGGTCCTAGCAGCCAGAACATTCTCCTGGGAAAAGAGGTTCAAGTTTATTCTTAATACCTTCACGGTTGTGTTTGCCTCAAACTTGAAAGCTTTGGTCTGTCCATTCTCCAAGTATAGCTTGAGCACGTTGGGCATACACAGCAGAGAGTTACCCTGTAAAACACAAAAGTATTGTATCCCTGTTTTCTTTTCTTCTGGAGACAGGGTCTCACTCTGTTACCGAGGCTGGAGGGCAGTGGTACAATCTCTGCTCACTGCAACCTCTGCCTCCTGGGTTCAAGCAGTTCTCCCACCTCAGCCTCACAAATAGCTGGGATTACAGGCACCTGCCACCACGACCAGCTTTATTTTTTTGAGACAGAGTCTCACTCTGTCGCCCAGGCTGGAGTACAGTGGCACGATCTCAGCTCACTGCAACTTCTGCCTCCCAGGTTCAAGCAAATCTCCTGTCTCAGTCTCCCGAATAGCTGGGACTACAGGCATGCACCACCATGCCCGGCTAATTTTTGTATTTTTTAGTAGAGATGGGGTTTCACTATGTTGGCCAGGCAGGTCTTGAACTCCTGACCTCAGGTGATCCACTGACCTCAGCCTCTCTAAGTGCTGGGATCACAGGCCTGAGCCACTGTGTTCGGCCTAATTTTTGTATTTTTAGTAGAGGCGGGGTTTCATCATGTTGGCCAGCTGGTCTCGGACTCCTGGCCTCAAGTGTTCTGCCTGCCTTGGCCTCTCAAAATAGTAAAATTACAGGCATGAGCCACTGTGCCTGACCTGTTGTATCCCAGTCACACCTTTCCTGCCCCTGGGTATGACAAATCCTTGGTTGTCTGATCCTGCCTGGTTTGGAGAGTAGGATCCTCCCTAACCTCACCGTGTCAGGGATTGCTTCTTGGCACTTGGGAATTTCTTCAGTGCACACGCATGCATTGTCAAGGGATACCCAGGAGGACTGTTAGGTATGACAAATGGTGGAGAAGAGTGAGCCCTTCCACAAGCACACTGATTGCACCGCACGAGCCTGTGTGATGTCTCATGACCGGCAGCTAACATTTCACTGCTGGTTGCACTCTTATGGGAGGCAATTTGGCAAGCCAGATGGCCAGCATGCATGCTGTTCAGCATGGGCCTTTCAGAGATTCTGAGACTCTACCTTGTGGGACTGGTGTGGGATGGGGAGGGGAGGGGAGCCTCTCTTATCCTCATTTTATTGCTGCATTCCTTATAATGAAATATCACCAAAGGGCAGAGGGATGCTCTCCAATACACTCACCCCAACTATCACCCTAGATGTATGAGGTCCCCTAAGGGACTCTGCCACTCTTGTAGGGCTATTTGGGCAAAAGGCACAGGACTAGTCTGTGTTTGGTGGCCCCATGCCAGCTAGAGCTCCTGGGATGAGGCAGGAGAGGGTTTTAGAGAATCTCCCAGCCCTCATAAGAAGTGACTTCTGAGTGTTTGCTTGCAAATACAAAGGACCCTTGGGGCTGGTGTCCTCCAGAAGCACAGAGGGATTTTAGAGTACCCAAGATTTGAGCTAGAATTGGTCCCCTGCATTCATCTCTATAAAGAGTTTGGGTATAAAGCCCACCTGGGTAAAAAAAGTTTATAATCTTTTTCCAAAAAAACCTTTCAGGTTTTTCAGATGAGAATATTGAATCTTCTAAATATAAAGGTGCTTGTATCTTCTAAGCAAGACTCACAATCGTGACTCTCTATAACTTTTTTTTTTTTTTTTTTTGACAGAGTCTCACCCTGTCGCCCAGGCTGGAGTGCAGTAGTATGATCTCAGCTCACTTCAGCCTCCGTCTCCTGGGTTTATAACTTTTTTAAAAAACACAATATTTTTATGGAGGAAAAAGGAAGATGTTCATATTCCAGTGCCATTTCACATTACATCAGGATGAGGGATTTCAAATTGCTTACTCTGCTGCCATCCTAATTCTGTGGCTTTGGGTGTTTAGAAATCTTAATTTTGGGGTTTCCCAAGTGGGAATTTTTTTCCTTAGTACTTTCTTTGTGATTTAAAAGGTTTACAAAAGATATATTCATAACAACAATACATAACTACCACCACTTACTTTCCCCTAAGGCTTCTTCCAATTTTTATCTGTATCTGTAAAAAGTTTTTAGAGAGCTGCAATAATTTAGTATGCATGATGCTATGTTCATTTTCTACCCAATACACATTTCATATACAATTTTTAGGTGGGCTTTATAATTTTAATGGCTTTATAATATTCTATTGAGTTGAAATATCAGAATTGATTTCACAATTCTTCTGCCCTAGACAATTGAGCATTTTTTTCCATTTTGGGAGCTACTTAAAATGTTGATACTAAAGATATCTTTAAATATATGGATTTTCATTTAAATTATTGTATTGACTAATAGGAATGCAATCTCTGGGTCATTTTTTATGGCAGTCATTAAATTTTGGTTTTTTCCACCTCAAAAAATTTAAGCCAATTTATAAAGCCATCAGTAATACAAGACTGTAATTACTTTCTCAGCATTGGGGCTTACAGTGTTTCTCCATTTTTGCTCATTTGCTAAGTATAAAGTTATACCTTTTAATATTTTTTCCTTTGTATTTGTGTAACTGTGAGCAAAGTCAAATATATTTCAAATATCGGTTTACTACTTCAGATCCTTCTTAACACAGTGATTATGTATCCTAAGGCAGTCTTACTATGTTCCAAGGGGAAAAGTTTAACAGCCAATTTTATCAGCTTTTAAACACTTGAAAGGAGGAATAGGCAGGTCACAGGGATGAGCTCTTCCTGGTTTTGCTAACTCTGCCTTGTGTGACTGATGCAGAGACTCCCAAAGATTCCCTGAGGTGCCCCAACCTTCCAAGTCTTCCTGGAGACACCTTTTTAGAACCTTATCCTTGAAACTCCCCATCCCCACCAAAACTCAAAGCCAGTTTTGTAGCCAGTTCAGGTGAAAATTGTCCTTACATGGTTCTCTCAACATAGACAGCAGTGAATAGGAAGTCATGGCCATTAAAACAAATCAACCAAGTGACCATGTCCACACCTGTAGTGCCTTTACTCTCTACCTATTATGCTAGCTGGTTCTCACCCTCACTACTCATCACTGTGCATGACTCGAAGAGTCATGTGTTGAATCTAAACTTAATTTTCTTTTTTCTTTTTTTTGAGATGGAGTCTCGCTCCTGTAGCCCACGCTGGAGTGCAGTGGTGTGATCTTGGCTCACTGCAACCTGTGCCTCCCAGGTTCAAGCGCTCCTCCTGTCTCAGCCTCCCGAGTAGCTGGGACTACAAGTGTGTGCTACCATGCCCAGTTAATTTTTGTATTTTTAGTAGAGATGGGGTTTCACCATGTTGGCCAGGCTGGTCTCGATCACTACCTGGTGATCGGCCTGCCTTGGCCTCCCAAAGTGGTAGGATTACAGGCATGAGCCAGTGCGCCAGGCCAAATCTAAACTTAATTTTCTAAAGAGGCTCAATCCAATTTCACAGACATGACTCAAATATTGCTGACTGACAGGTGTTTTCTGAGTAAAGCATTAGGCCTCTCACTGGCCCCTTCCTGAACAAGTCTACCTTTCTCACTCAAGTCTATCTGAAGGTATGCTCTATTAAGTAGCAGGGCAGGTAGAAAATAAGGGCTCTGTAGATGTGGACCAGGTCACCTGGATCCTTTGTTAAAATGGTGGTAGCCCCCACCCCCTCTTACTCCCATGGCCTTTGCTGGTCTCTATGTGAGGAGACCAGATAAGGACAAGTTTTGACTTTAAAGTTTCTAAGTCTAATATTAAGAAATTCAGAATGGCAATAGTTATAGACTACTGGGGGAAATGTGTAAATTATGAATAAATATGCCTTTTATCCAACACTCCACATTACAAACTCTAGCCACATTTTCCCATTACAAATTTGTCTTCTGAACCCCCAACCCTGGGTCTCTCCGTATTAAAAAGGACTAGACAGCACGTCATAGTGAAAAACCAAAGAACTAAAGTCACGTGAGCCTGGGCTCCTGCATTTTCTTGCTCTGTGATCTTAGAGGTTAAGTGTCTTAATCTCTCTAGGCCTCTGCTTCCCCTTTTGTTAAAACACCTCCCTTGCAGGGTATTGTGATAACTAAGGACTGTGTACACGCAAAGTTAGGTCACATAATAGAGATTCAATAGATGATGCGCTCTTAAAAATAAAAAGCAATCCCATCACCACTGGCATTATTATCAATAGATCACCTTCAGAGGGAGTAATACATTTGAAGATGCAAAATGAGAAATTAACTAGTGGAATCTGTTGAAATTTCATGGGCAGAAGAATGGAGTCACAGAACACAGAGAGCCATACTCAGTGCTCTTCTTCCCAGTCCCCACCCAGGGCCCACAGCTCCCACCAGCTCTCCCAGTCCAGGGTCTGCAGGCATCTGACAGGGAGTGTGCATAAAACCTCTTGCAAACGCACTGCACCTCTGCATCCTCTCTGTGCTGTGGGATTCCAGAGGTTCAGGGAGTTATGTGCCAGAAGGCAGCTTCCCAGCTGCATAAAGAGTAATTTCAATCCCTTGACTAGTGACACACCTGGCTGTGTGCACTGATGAGCACTTCTTCAGCAAAGTGTACCTTCACAGGGTTGGTCTTCAGCCTGGCTCTCTTCTCCTCGGTCAGGAAGGACGATTTAGGGACTCCCTGTAAAATATCAACATGATGCATTCTGAAGCAGCACTTTCATAAAAGCTTGTATAACTAGCTTCTCGTTTCTTAAAAACAGAAACTTTGATAGCTGTTGCAGATTCAATTTAAACCCACAGGAAAGAATAATAATCCATTAAAGGTATTTTCATACAATCTAGGGATCTCAAGCCAGATAATGTTCTCACATGCCTGAGAATAGTTGGAAATTCAACATGATAGCAAAATAGCTGTGATATGATGAAGAAAAAAGGTCCTACCCTATGAATGGGAGGATGTGAATTCCAACTCATGTTTTACTGCTCAATAGTTGTGAGAACTATCTCAACCACAAATTCTTACGAAAGAAAACCACATGAGTGCGTAAAGCACAACAAAATAACTCTCTGTGACTTTGGCCCAGTCCTTGCCCCTCTCTGGCCTTCAGAGTCTTCCCATATGCACAATATAGTAGTTAGACAGGGTTCCCTGAAACTCTGACCCTCATGACATATCCTTGGCACCACTTTGCTCTTATCCTTTGGGAGGTACCCTCTTTTCCCAGAAGCAAAGAGTCATCACAGGTTCGTACGAGTATATGGTGAAGCCTTTGGACTTGATCATATCAAGCCAAACTGTGACACTTGCTGAATAGCATGTTACATGATCTTCTAGACCAACAGGCTGTGACCTTCCTGGATGAAATCCTGACACACTATTTTCCAGCCTAACATCCTATGTCCCTTGGTGTGGACAGTCCTTTAGGCCAGTCTCTAGAATGTTTACATGTGTAAGAGTACCAAGATGAGACTCTGGGCCATGTTCTGTGAAGATGGGAGAAGAGATACATAACAGCAAACAGGGAAACAGCTGCAAACAATGTTCACAGACTCAAATACCAACTGACCATAGCCATGAAGTATATGAAATGAACAAGAAGCCCTGAAATTTTAAGGCAAAAAGATAAATGTGATTCTCATGGGTAACTAGAGCCTTGGCATGACAGGATTCATGACTGTGACTCAACATCTCAAATATATACAGGTATTGATCGACTTAACGACCTATGAAACTTACGACCATTCGACTTTACGACCACAATCGCTAGCCACGACTGCTCCGCGTCTGGCAGCGCAAACGTTGCCCAGCTGGGCGTACAACAGTGTGGACCAGCTTCCGGCCGCACCGCCATCTCCACGTGCATATAGCCTACTCAACTTACAACCAAATCATGTTACGACCGGTCTGTCGGAACCAATCATGGTCGTAAGTCAAGCACTGGCTGTAATTCGTTTCAAAACAAGAAAATTAGTAGAAAAGAGGAGAAATAATAATGTTTGCAGAGAAGTATACCTGTAGAAATTAGAGAAGGGATAGAAGGAATAAGAGAAAAAGTTACAACCCAAAATTAGTGATAAGCCTATCAGATTGCTTCGAATGAGTTCAAGACTCCCATACCACTTGAATCTAGGGGGCTTGTTGACCTATTATATCTAAGTTGGTATCATCCATGAAACAGAGAATGGAAGAAATGTTAGGAGATTAAAGATGGTCCAATAACAAGTTTTCCAGAAAATGAATATGGAGGATTTAGGAAAACACGTATTGGTAAGTCTCTCATTAATTCTTGGCAAAATCAGGCTGGGTGCATAGCTCCTGCCTGTAATCCCAGCACTTTGGGAGGCCAAGGCACGTGAATCACCTGAGATCAGGAGTTCAAGTCCAGCCTAGCCAACATGGTGAAACCCTATCTCTACTAAAAATACAAAAATTAGCCTAGCGTGGTGGCACAAATCTTTAGTTCTAGCTACTTGGGAGGCTGAGGCAGGAGAATCACTTTAATCCAGGAGATGGAGTTTGTAGTGAGCTGAGATGGCGCCACTGCACTCTGGCCTGCTGACAGAGTGAGACTCTGACTCAAATAAATAAATAAATAAAAGATTCTTGGCAAAATCCAAGATAAGAGATGGTCAGAGAGCTTTAAGACAGTGATCACTAACAGCCAATATGGAGTTACCAAGAACAAGTCAGAGTCAACCAAGTTCATTTTTCCTTTGAAGATAGGAGTCCATATTGGTAGACCAGGGTTCTGTGGATATAGTAGTATTCCTTCATTCTTGCAAAGCATTGGATAAAGTCTCCTATAATCCCCCTGTGGAAAAGGCCAGATGCAGTGCCATTAGGTGGGTTCATACACTAGTTGACGTACACTCAAAATAGTCCTGATTTCTAACTCAGTATCTTAGTCTCCCTTTGGCTCAATCCTCAAGAGTGATGTTTAGCAATGTCTTGGTTGAAGCCAGAGAAAGTGAAGTTGCCAAACCTGTGAAGGACAGAGCTGCAAGTTGTCATCAGATATCAGGCAGCAAGAATTTGGGGGGGAAGGTCAAGGAACTGGGAATCTAAAAGAGGAAAGCATGGGGAACTTAAGGACCGAGATAGCTATGGATCAAAGGCCAGGAAATCACCAAAAACAAATACAAGACGGTATAAGGAGTTGGGCTGTCAAGAGCTGCAGGGAACAAGATAAAGGGAGTGGTCAAAGCGACAGGTACAACCATCACCAGCCTACAGACTCAAAGGAATAAGAAATCAGGGGCAGAACAGAAGAGAGATGCAGAGAGGAAAGGAATCTGCAGGAAGAAATCACTGTTGTCTCTCACCTTCAGGAGATAAATCCTGAATTAGTCCCAGAGCTGGATTGTGCTCAAGAAAATCAGCTGGCAGGAAACTGAAGGAACTGGAGTAGACTTAGGAAGGGGAGGGTCCCTGACAGGAAGGGAGAACGACTACAGCTGTCAACTGTACAAATAGGCCTTTCAGTCCCACAATTCCCTGAGTGTAAAATCTCAGCATGCCAGAGCACTGGGCAAAAGCAACATGACAGGGATTAATGTGAAGTGTGGCAGTGAGCATCCAAAATATCAATTGCGCAAGCATGGGATTTAAGGGACCTGGCTTGGAAGCTACTCATTTAAAAGCCAGCTCAGTATTTTGTTGGTCACCAGTTTCACCCAAGCTGACAGTGTGATGGAGCCTGCTAAAATGTTGACCTGGTTTTGGGCTTTACCAGCATTCTCGGTGCATATCCATTCCCCATGATACTCAGCATTGGTCACTGGTGGAACTGTGTTTCTTTCTGGGTGTCACTATTTGGGAGAGTCATCATGAAATTGGAATCTGTCCAGAAAGCTCTCAGAGAAGTGAGAATTCAGAAAAACACATCTATGAGGAATCACTGATGGAACAGTTGTTTAGCCTAGAGAAGATCACTCTTCCAAATCTTTGCCATTTCATACAAAGTGGACTTGCTCTGAACTAGTTGGTGGGAGTCACAGGGAAGAAGGGCCATTCTTACATTTGGGCCCACCTAACCATGAAACTGGCTGCTTTGGGAAAAAAACATGCCAACATGAAAGTGCCCAACACACAGCCCCCACTGTGGTTTCTGTACTATTATACCTGAACATCAGCTCTGCCATCCTGCATATCTCGGCATCTGGAACATATTATAAACCACTTCCTTATACCCACTTCAGTCATCCAATATTTTAAAGAGACAATTCAAAGGATATGAGCTACTCATTATTCTCGAACTTCTAAGCTCTTCCTGGATTCTAAATTAATTCGTCAGAAAGTAGCAGACCTCAGCTGATAAAATCTCTTTGTACATGTTTTTTGCTGAACTAAGAGTTAATGTTTAAAAGCACACTGAAAAGGGACACTTTGGAAAACATTCCTATATCTTTTTGCAATACCCTCTGTCCTGGGCTACACAATGTCACTCATGAAGGCAGCAGGGTTTACAGAGGTACAATAGCATAATGCTAAGGAATGTGGGTTCTGGAGTCTACCTGGAAAATAACCCAGCTTCACTGATTTCTGTACGTGAGACCATGGCGTGTGAGGACATGGCATCCTCATCTGTAAAAGGGGGATAATGAGTCTATCTTCCTCATGCATTTCCTTTTGGTGCAAATTAAATAAGACATTAAATACTGGCATTAATATTATTACAAATAATGTATTATAGACAATGAATATAGACAATACAGATCTACAAATTTAAACCAGTACAATTCAGTGTTCTAGAGAAGCAGTAATTAATGGTGCAACTGTGGATTTTATCATTCCTAATCAATTTCAAGTAATTTGAGGACCCCAAGAATCTACCACAACAACAATGAGCCTCCTTGCTAAAGCAAGACATGTATGATCATTTTGCAATGTTTTTAAAATTCTTTGGGGCCACCTGCAGTGGCTCACACCTGTAATCCCAGCACTTTGGGAGGCTGAGGCAGGCAGATCACTTGAGGTCAGGAGTTCGAGACCAGCCTGGCCAATATGGTGAAGCCCCATCTCTACTAAAATATATAAAAATTAGCCAGGCATGGTGGTGCATGCCTGTAGTCCCAGCTACTTGGGAAGCTGAGGCAGGAGAATTGCTTGAACCTGGGAGGTGGAGGTTGCAGTGAACTGAGTTTGCATCACTGCACTCCAGGCTGGGTGACAGAGCAAGACTTCGTCTGAAAAATAAATAAATAGGCCAGGCGCAGTGGCTCACACCTGCAATCCCAGTACTTTGGGAGGCTGAGGTGGGCAGATCACGAAGTCAAGAGATCGAGACCATCCTGGCCAACATGGTGAAACACTGTCTCTACAGAAAATACAAAAATTAGCTGGACATGGTGGTGCGCGCCTGTAGTCCCAGCTACTCAGGAGGCTGAGGCAGGAGAATCACTTGAACCCAGGAGGTGGAGGCTGCAGTGGGCCAAGATCGCACCATTGCACTCCATTGAGATGGAATGAAACTCCATATCAAATAAATTCATTCATTCATTTATTCATTCATTCATTCACTCATTCTTCGGGGCAGTTCCGGTGAGAGGCCCAGGAGCAGGCTAGCCAATATTTAGGACATTTCTCAGAGGCACTAGTGGCCATAGACTGGGCTAATGCCAGTTCTCCCTGAGAGACTTCCAGAGCACAGTATTTACGTTCCTTTCTTTCTGAAAATCTTGAGGAATCTCAGGAGTGGTACTGGACACATACCAATTTTCATCTTCCCATACTTTTTATTTTTTAAAGGATTTAGCTCTGTGCTGTTCCCCTCGCTCCTTACATTGTTTTCTTTTGCTCATTTCTTGGAAACAGAGTAGGAAAAAATCTGCCTAATTAAAATTAAGGTACTCTCCAATGAGACGATAATCAGCTAAATAAAAAGGACATCCTAACACCTGCACTACCATGTATACTGATTAGATTTCCCTGTTTCCATATTGGTTTCACATTATTTAATAGACAAATTCTGTTAAGAATAGAAGAAATTCCATTTATCTATACATAAAATACTTGGTCTGACATATTTATGGCAAACATCTTCATCCTAATTAGGTGGGTTTTTTCCTACTCTATTTCCAAGAAATAAAAACAAAATATAACACTTGTCAAATACAGACAGGAGACAATTTCTCTGCTTTCTAGTGTTATGAAGTGTTTGGACCACAGAAGGTTTATATTTTCACATAATCAAATCGCCTTTGTTCCACTTTGCTTCCTTCCACGCTTTAAATGCATAGGCAATCTTTCTACAGCCTATGATCAGACAGACATCTATCCATGTTGTTTGCATTTTTAGAGGTGAGACTGTATTTTTTCCAAATATTTAAACAAACGTCCAAGTTTGATTTCTTGAATAACTGCCTTTTCTCCCACTGATTTGGAATGCTATGTTTTTCACAAAATATAAATATATATTTATATTTTGTTTCATTATGTTGGCCAGGATGGTCTTGATCTCTTGACCTTGTGATCTGCCTGCCTCAGCGTCCCAAAGTGCTGGGATTACCAGTGTGAGCCACCGTGCCCAGCCAGATATTTTTAAAAATATATGTCAGTAATATTCTAGTTTCCTCCACTTGAGGCTCACATATCTCTTTCCCTTAAGGTTTGTGTATTTTATATAACTTTTGTCCTTAAAGAAATAGCCCTTGGATTTATCAACACTACAATCTTTGTTTTTCAGAGGATCATTTATATTTTAATTTTTGTTACGTTATTCTGCTTTATGTTTGTTTTATTAATCTTTTTTTCAAACTTCTTGCACTGAATATTTAATTGCTTTATTGCTGTATTAAATGATAAAAATACTTAAGGCTATGAATTTTACTCTGAATATAGCTTCCACTGTACATAATTGGTTTCTTTTTTTTTCCTGAGACAGAGTCTCGCTCTGGTCACCCAGGCTGGAATGCAATGGTGTGATCTTGGCCCACTGCAACCTTTGCCTCCTGGAATCAAGCAATTCTCCTGCCTCAGCCTCCTGAGTAGCTGGGATTACAGGCACCTGCCACCACACCTGGCTAATTTTTTATTTTTAGTAGAGATGGGGTTTCAACATGTTGGTCAGTCTGGTCTCCAACTCCTGACCTTGTGATCCACCCACCTCAGCCTCCCAAAGTGCTGGGATTACAGGTGTGAGCCACTGCACCCGGCCGCATAATTAGTTTTAAGAAGTACAGTTCTGGCTGGGCATGGTGGCTCACACCTGTAATCCTAGCACTTTGGGAGGCCTAGGCAGGTGGATAGCCTGAGGTCAGTAGTTTAAGACCAGCCTGGCCAATGTGGCAAAACCCCACCTGTACTAAAAATACAAAAATTAGCTGGGCATGGTGGCACATGCCTGTAATCTCAGCTAATTGGGAGGCTGAGGAAGGAGAATTGCTTAAACCCAGGAGGTGGAGGTTGCAGTAAGCCAAGATAGTGCCATTGCACGCAGCATGCTCGACGGGAGTGAGACTCCATCTCAAAAAAAAAGTACAGTTCTAATTTTCAATTATTTTCTAAATAGTCTATAATGATAATTTTGCTTTTTCTATTTGACTCCATCTTTACTTAGGAAATTACATTTTTATTCCCAAATGGCTGAATGGTTTTTAATTAAATTTTTAATAGTTATTAGCTTCTATTTTATTATATTCAGAAAGAGGGACCTGCACAGTTTTTCATTTGGGGAGTTTATTGAGTTTTCTTGGCAGCCTGGAATGTGGTCAATTAGATCAGATTATTAAGTGCATTATTAAAATTCTCTATGCCCCTCTTTTTTTCTTTTAGTCTATTTGTGGCCAAGCCTAAGAAGTATATATTGAAATTTCTCACAATGAAAATGTTCTGTCAACTTTTAAAAAACTTTCTCATTAGTAGTCTTTCTTTTGAAAATTTGATTATATACTTTCCCTAAATAACACACAAGGGGCTCCTCGGCCTGTGGTGGTTTCGGATTGCCACTTCCTCCCCGTGCATCATCTATGCCACACTGTGCCACGTGGTGAGCCTCAGAGCTGATAAAACACACTTGCATATCCAACATCTCATTTAGTCCTTCTAACAACCAATTAGACAGACAAGGCAGTTATTGTCATGATCACTATTTTACAAAAGTGAAAACTAAAACTGAATAGTTTGCCCAAAGTCATACCACTCAAACCTGTCTTGAAACTTATCTTCATCCTACTGTGCCCAATCATAGATGTATCTCTTCTACTGGACCATCAATTCTTGAAGCCTGCACCATATCTGTTTCCTCCATTGTATTTGCATGGTGGAGGTCTTCAGATAACATGGACTGACTGGCCACCCACTGCCAGGCAGCTCTCACCCTCCACTCTTTGCCTTCCCTGCTGACTTTATGAGGGATATCCTCTGGGGGAACAGGGTCTTAGGGCCACAATGGTGAAACTAACACACAGGACATAGAAGGAGATTTACCGACGTGCAGCGAACAACTGTGATTGAAAGAGAATCTTCTGCTTCCCTGAAAAAAGAAAGAATGAAGACAAAAACATTTAGTCATTTTGTGTGACAGATGCATGTGCATGTACACATGTGTGAGCATGTGTGTTAGGGTCAAAAAGACTGGCAGAATTAGTATAAAGCAGCCTCCTTTGCCTTAGCTTCTTTTTTTTTTTGAGATGGAGTTTTGCTCTTGTTGCCCAGGCTGTAGTGCAATGGTACAATCTCAGCTCACTGCAACCTCTGCCTCCCGGGTTCAACCGATTCTCCTGCGTCAGCCTCCCGAGTAGCTGGGATTACAGGCATGCGCCACCACACCCAGCTAATTTTGTATTTTTAGTAGAGATGGGGTTTCTCCAAGTTGGTCAGGCTGATCTTGAACTCCTGACCTCAGGTGATCCACCCGTCTCAGCCTCCCAAAGTGCTGAGATTACAGGTGTGAGGCACCGAACCGAGCCTGCCTTAGCTTCTTTGGCTCAGCAAAACTGGGAAATGCAACAACCTGCAAAGAAACTTAAACTGACCCAGAGAGCTCCCCCACCTGGAGGAAATCTTCCTATGTCCACCTCCACCATCTAGCCTATATCTAGAGCCACAACATTTATTAAGGCACTTAGCCTTAATTTAGTCCCATTCAATGAAGAACTCATCCAGTAGATACTAGTTAGATTTATATCCCAAAAAAATTTTTAAGAGAAAATATGGCAATAACACAGATAACTTAGGTTGCTATTTCAGAAAACTCAGGCTAAACATTTCACTAAATAGAATTAATGTCTGTGGGTAACATTTATCAGATGAAGGCCAGAGTTTATGGTGTTTGTGCATGAAGTCAGTGTAATGAGCCCAATCATGTAATCAAGACAGTAGACATCTCTGTATTGCATTATCTCTTAGATTTCAAAAGTGATCAAATCAACCAGACAACTGCCGAACCTCTACTTTATATTATCGAGAAGAACAGAGAAAATGGATTTATATTTTCCTTTCTCTTTGCCATTGCTACGTAGAGAAGCAGTTTGCAAAATAATTTCATTTGACTTCTTGCAATATGAACATTTAGGCCAATTGCTGCTGGTGAGTTATTTCCTCAAATGGATAAACTCAGCCCAAGATACTTAAGTGTCTGGGGACTTCCTCTTTTCCATTTTAAATAAGAATAGGCCTTTTCTGAGATAAATCACAATAAACCAAAGTGCAAGTGCTCTAAAGGACATATTAGCCTCACAGTATTGGGAGGAATTTGAAATGTTTTCTTGCATTGTTGTGTCATTTTGTTTTGCTTTGTGTTTTTCCTTTTACATATGACACTGAATAATACATGCTCTTTTTAGATACTGGGAACTAAGCTAAAAAAACTGAGGCATCCTGGAATTCTCACATGCAAAACGCAGCAGAGGGCATAGATGCACAGCACACCTCAAGTCACGCACCCCTGCTCAGAAGCCTTCAACTGCCCGCCCTTCCAGGGGGAGAATCAAATCACACTGAAATGTGCTGTGCTGGCATTCAGGACCCTCTATCATCTGGACTTCACTTCCTAGAACTTTTCTCCAGGCAAACTGAAGTGTTCAGCAACCCCTACTCCCACCCTGTTGCTCTGCTTCCTCCTTTGCCTGAATCACCCTTCACCTCCATCTTTTGGACCAAATGTTATCCAGCATTAAAGACACAACTGAAATACTTCTGGGCCCTTCTCTGTTTTGTCGACCTACAACTTCTGAGCAAGTTGGAGGACTCTCCAGCATTTACAGCATATTTCCTCGGCTTTTCTTTTTTCTTTTTTTCTTTTTTTGAGACAGTCTTACTCTGTTGCCCAGGCTGGAGTACAGTGGTACAATCTTGGCTCACTGCAACATCTGCCTCCCAAGTTCAAGAGATTCTCCTGTCTCAGCCACCTGAATAGCTGGGAGAGGAAGACCACTTGAGCCCAAGAGTTTGAGACCAGCCTGGGCAACGTAGCAAGACCCCAGCTCAAAAAAGGGAAAAAAACAAATTAATACCACCCAAAAGCCAGATAAGCGATTCATAAAAAAACACACACTGAACTACATATATATCTTCAAGTGAGCTTTCACCTACCTCTATTTCTCACCTGTCTGTATATTAGTCATTAGAACATTGTTGAATAAAAAATTTAAAAGCCAAAGCTTGCATGTGGCCATAAAATGTCTGCTTGTCCTCTTTACTCCTATCAATGGTACTCCTCCATCTTAAAGTCTGGGTTGCTAATTCCCAGCACTAACCATAGTCACTCAATGAACTGAGTACCCTCTGTGCCCTGGTCTCAAGAAATCATTGTCTAGAAAGCAAGGCATTTCTGTAAGTCACAATGACACCAGGCAGAAGGTTTGGAGGTGCTACATCAATGAAACTACATATATGCCAACCAAGATGCACCTGCAATTACATTTAAGAAGAGATATCAAGAGGGATAAAGAAGAACAGATCTGGTGCTAGTTTAGTTCAATCTTTGGCATATGTTACAACGTGCCTATAAATCCTTTGAGGATAGGGGCTATGTGTTATTTACGATCATTACACTCCTGCAGTGTGCAGCACAGTGTCTTGGGCATAGCAGGGGTTTGACAAATATAGCACTCTGTGCCTCCCATGCTCTTTTGTAGGCAAATGAGAGAGAGTGGACTGTAACAGCCACCACCAAGAAGCCATCTTATTAAGATAGAGTTGGAACTCTAAAACGAGGCTGTCCTTGCTGCTTTAAAATAGACTTTAACCTTATTAAAATCAGGGGATCAGTTATGGCATTCCTGTTGCCCAACTTTGCTCTTTGATCATCTGTACAATTCTGTAGATGATGGAAGATTATTTAGTACCTGAGAATATCGACTGCGCGTTCCCAGGAAAGGTCTTCGGCAGGCTCATTGTTCATTTGGAGGATCTGATCACCAGGGAAAAGCTTGCCATGAGCAGAGCCTCCTGTTGGACAGAAAATAAGTAATTGGTGCTCATGTCGGGAGAACCCAGACTCCATGTGTAATAGTGGCACAGCAAAAATGACAGCCTGATCCAGTCCCTAGGGGTATTGGCTCACTTCCCCACCTTCAGTCAGGCTTGGGCTCATGCAGATCCTAATTTTCTTGTTTATAAATCATGGATAACGTACCTATCATCTATCACCAACTTCCAGGGATGTTAGAAGACTGTCCTGAGAAAGAAAACTAGCAGAAACCTTCTAAATCAACAGAGTTGGCCAGTAAATCTACTCCATTCATCTCTAATGAACTCTGGTGTGTATGTATGTGTAAATAGAAATTAACACATTTTAACGAATCCCAGATTAACACACCTCAAGTTTGAAAACAAGCACTGGCCTTTCCCCATCTGCTCCTCTTCACCCTGGTACAGCCTATATTTCACAAGGTTCAAGTGAAGATAAATCAAGTTTCTATTATTGCCTGACCAGAAAGTCTCCCCAGCTAGGAGCATGTGGGGTTCAAAGAGGAGGGCTGGCTTAGCCAGATACTTTCACTGCTCCTGAGACCAGCCAGTGAGTCATGGGTGGGCAAAGCCCTGGCCAAGGCCAGTGGGAGCCTGGAGTTTGGAGCAGCAGCTGCACCGGGGGCTTCCTCCCTCCCAGCATCAAAGTGAAGTGCAAAGCCCAAGACAGAATTAGGAATGCCTTTTCTAACTTCCTAAGGAAGGCTTTTCTGCATTTTGCTATAGGATAGAGAGATCAGGGGAGATTCGGGGCTACTTCCCCTTAAGAAGCCAAACTCTTTTTTCATTTCCCAGTCATCCCCTACCTGCTGTGACAGCCACCACTGTAAGGGGAAGGCTCTCGGAAATGTGAAATCCATAGTCCTGAAGGAGGGCGTCTTTGTCTATCTTTACTGTGTGCCGCACAGGGATGAGGGTCTGAGCTGGGTTCCTGGGGGGCCCATCAGCTGCAGCAACCTTAGCCCTAGAATAGAAGGAATACGTAAAAAAAAGAAAAAAAGAAAGAAAAAGAAAGAAAAAGAAGATTCCAGCTGTTGGTCACGAACTGGGTCAGCCCCAACATTGGAGAAAGATACAGAGCTGAGTAGATATCAACTTGCCTCTTGAAACAAATAAGACACAAACCCCACTAGCAGAACTTAAGGCTGTCCTCTAAAAGAGAAGTCATATTGCCAGGCATTCTTAACGAGCTTATGCTAAATATCTAGAAAGCACCCATAAGTGCTATGGACGCACAGAAAAGGGGGAGAACCGTTTCAACTTTGTAGGGCAGAGAATAGCGAATCAGGGATGCATCTGGTACTTGGAAGAGGTGGCATTTGCACTGCACTGTGCGACACGTCTAGGGTGTACCTATACAGCCCAGATCCTGGCACAGAGAAGATATTCAATAACTGCTCCTAAGTGTATCAATGAATGAATGGAAGGGCTGACAGAAGGACAGGCAGATGGGCATCCCAGGCAGGATGTATTGCTGGAGTCAAGGGACAGGAGAGGAAAAACATGGACAGTGAATGGAAACAAGCAGTTGTCGGGTTCAGATGTTTGACAACGGATCATTTTATAGCAAGATTTTTTTCCTTTGGTGATTTTTTTTGTTTGTTTCTTTATGATGAGTTTTGCTTCCCTTTAAGCTTTGTAAATGCAAGGATACCAATATAAAATTCTGGATAGCAAGGAATCCCTCTGTATCAATCTTTAAAACATGTATGTTCTTTAAAAGCAGGAAAGTTCTATTTTCTATCTCGCAAACAGAGAAACCACAAAGTGAGTTACAAGTTATTCTTCATTTGTCTGTGGCAAACAATTTTTTCCCTCTAACAGTCAGTGGTTCTTTCTGAGGAAGGTCAAAGAGTGATGGGATGAGGTGTTTATTGTCATTATAAACCATACAAATGTGAAGGAGTAACCGCTCTCTTGGGGCTCTGCAGTTAAGGTCTATCATTTATTCTCATCCATTTACCAAACACTGTCAGGAACCCTGCCTAATGCAATAGGCCCGCACTTATCTGAAAATCATCTCTCTCTCATTTATAATGATCTCCAATTTCAACAAGTATCCGGAAATAGGAAAAACAGCCTCACAGAGCCAAATGCAGGGGACAAGCCCAAGTCCAAAGTCTCGTGTACATTATCCACCAAGGAGCTCCGCAGGCCCTGGCTTAGAGCAAATGTAGGCTCTGTATGAACAGACGATGCAGCCCACACAACTTAGAAGCAGAGAGAATCTCTCTTCTGGGCCAGCATGCAGGTAATACTGAGCTGGGCAGCAGAGAGACCCAATGAGAGGAAAGAAACAGAAAACTGAAAATTCGCACTGAATAAAACTCATAGCTCTTACTGATTTTTTTTTCATTCTTTCTTTTTCTTATTTATTTATTTATTTTAAGATAGGGTCTTCCTCTGTCACTCAGGCTAGAGTGCAGTGGAACGATCTTAGCTCACTGAAGCCCCCAACTCCTGAGTTCAAGTGGTTCTCATGCCTGAGCCTCCCAAGTAGCTGGGACTACAGGCTCATGCCACCATACCTCGTTAATTTTTTTGTATTTTTAGTAGAGAAGGTGTTTCACCATGCTGCCCAGGCTGGTCTCAATCTTCTGAGCTCACATGATCTGCCCCCTTGGCCTCCCAAAGTGCTGGAATTACAGTCATGAGCCATCGCACCCAGCCTATTCCTGATTTTTTAAAAAACATTTAAAGCTATAAAGGGTATTCCTAAATGCAATAAATAATACTCCATACTAAAAGTCAAAATTCAACATTTGACATTTCAGGTGTGGTGCCTCACACCTGTAATCCCAGCACTTTGGGAGGCCGAGGCTGGCTAATCACTTGAGTCCAGGAGTTCAAGACCAGCCTGGGCAACATGGCAAGACCTTGTTTCTTCTAAAAA